TCCTCCCTGATACCTGGCCCCTCTCTGTAGGAGTCCTGTCAGTCCCTGCAGTATCTCTAAAACCCTGCCCCCAGAGCCCTGATCCTCCCCCCACACTTGTCCAGTGCAGACACGTTACTGGGGGGCCTGAACCCCCCCCCGGCTCAGTTTAACATCTTCCGAAGCTCGCTAGAGCATCTCCAAAGGACCTTTTCCCATCCTCGTGAGGTGTAACCCATCCCTTGCCAGAAGTCCATTGGCAAGAAAACGAGTGCCGTGGTGAAGGAACCCGAAGCGTTCCTTCTGGCACCACACCCTAAGCCAGTCGTTCACCCGGGAGGCCCTCCTGTCCCTTCCTGGCCAAATCCCCGGATGGGTAAGATTGACGAGAAGGCCACTTGGGCCTTCAGCTCCCTGAGTTTCTTCCCCAAGGCCTCAAAGTCCCTGGTGGCCCCAACCACACCCTGCCTGGCCACCTCGTCTGTGCCCATGAATTCTTCCATAGTCCCTTCTGTGCCAGCTTTTAGACGACTTGTTCAGACACTACTCATCCAAGAGCCAATTCATTTGAAAGGCAACTGAATAGCCCCCACCAATGGGTGGGCTGTCAAATGTAACCACAAGTTTGAATGACCTTCGCTTGCAAAGGCGGGGAAGGTCCTTGGGGAACCATGTGCCCTCATTTTTGCATTTGTTCCAAAGATTCCACCACCTTAGGAACACGCAAAAGAGCAACCCATCCCATTTATTAAAATAGTTACTTTTGACAGTGTGAACAAAAAAAGCCACCAGGATCCAAGTAATAGGCTGTGCATGGAGAGAGTTCAAAAGACTTCTGGCTGGTTCTAATGGGCCAATGTAATTACTGTCCCTACCAGCAGGATATTCACTGATGGGGAAAATGGTTGTATAATAACCTCCAAAGCTTTTCTTTTCCCTTCAGTGCATTCCAATTTTATTTCCCACTTACCTTCCAACTATTAACTTATGATGTGGAATTCTTAAATATCTAGCTTTCATGATATATAAAATTCATGTAATATTTTAAGGATGGGTAAAGACAGACCACACTGATTCAAGAGCAGGATCTAAAATTAGCTTACCATACCTGATGCCAAATCATATGATCAAATTACTGGCTTTCCTCTTATTTATCAAAGGGAAGATTTATGTTGCAAAGCATGTCAAAATGTGGTATCAGTTTTCTAAACAAAGGCATGGTTTATCTCCTACAAAGAACAGTTCATCTCTTTAACAGTTTTGTAATTAAAACTTCTATATAACAAGGCATTGCTTTATTTAGCAGATTCGCCTGTGGGACAGAAGTCTGTTTTTTCCTATATGAATCTGTAAGAAATTGTGATTTCTTAGAACATTGCAGACAACTAATTTATGGTCAAAATGCACTTGGTTTTTGCTATGAACATTTTCACATTTATATACTTGATAAAAGCATTAAACTGTTTGCTTTTACTTTCTGTAGCTAATAAATAAAATGTTGCACAATCTATTTATTCATTTATATATCCTAACCTGAATGCTTATGTTTGTTGTCCTTACAGAGTCAGTATTTGTTAAATATCCAATCCTAAGACTAATACGTGGTGAACAGAGAAAATTGCTAAGATCACGAAGGATATTTTAGTACTCCTACTAGTATCAGCCATGTATTATAACACCATTAAGATACAGCATACTCCAGTCACAAGTATAGAGGAAATACTGGGACTTGTAGAATTTTTTTCTGCAAGTTTGTAAGTTAGCTCCTGATTCAACTCTTACCTCCACCAAGAGCTTACTAGTAGGCCTAATGTATCAGTCTCAGACCTCATTCTCAATAGCCCTTTCTTACAGTGCTCTTGTAAACATTACAAGACTGTTGTTAGATCAAAAGGCAACCTTCTGCTGATAGATGAGCGGTTTTTACATCTCACAGTAAAACACAGATGCAGAACCTCCAGCCTGCAAACCAGATTTGGCCTGCTAGCACTCGCAGCTGGACACACCCCGTCCTCTGCCACATGCACTTTTTCCCTTTATGGTTCACTTTGATCACCAAATGCCTCTGGGGTGTCATTTGCATACTGCCAGCATTCCGGCTTCTTCCATTCCCTCCTACCTTTCTAAAGGTGTGGTCTTGAGAAATCTTCATTCCTCCATGTTGTCCTTCAGCAATCTTTGCTGCATCCTACCTGTTTAGAATGCCTTGGAGCTTTTCATTAGTTTCAGAAACTAGTTTGGGTTGATGCTGTCCAGTTCAGTCATAGCTAATTTTCAGAGTTCTTCTCTCCCTGGTGAGGGTCCCACTCTATGATAACTTTGGAAAATTTCCAAACTACAGTCTAAGCATTTTTGAGTTTGCTTTGCAGGCTCTTAAGTTTGGCTCCATGGTTCCTATCAGGTTTCACTTTTTGAGCAGCAGAAGGGCAGGATGCAGTTGCTGCAGAGACCACAATGTGCAACTTGAATTATGACGTGTTGAATTTGATGATGGGACACTTTCTATGCCCTTTGGTTGACTGGGTTCTTCGTGTATGCCAATGCAAGAGACCTTGAATGCGGCAACCCTTTGCAGACTTGCTCGGAAGTACGATTCACTGAATTCAATTGGATTTACTAGGCACGTTGTAAGTTGATTATCAGATGAAGTGTGATATGCACGGGTCCTCCTAAATTTGCTGCTGGCCTGGCCCACAATTAGAACTGTGCTCCATTGACAATCTACATACTGGAATTCAGCCCATGCACTGAAAAAGGTTTTTGAGCAAGGGGAAAAAATCATACACATTTTTCTTGCTTGGACAACAGTTGTATTATCTCTTGCAGAAGCATAAAAATTGCTACAAAATCTACCTACTGCTCACCCCTACAGCAGTGTTTGCAGAACAGCAGTAGCAATCATTGTCTATGCTTCTTCTAATCTAATGGAATATATTTATTTTATTTCCATATTTCCAATACTCAAAATATCTGTGAAAGAGTTATATACATTCCAGCTCAGTGCTAGCAAATGGCAAAAATTAATACCTGATCCCAGGCTCTTAAAATGTTGCAACTAGTAGGTGGCATTCAGCTGCAAGAGAGGAGGTTACTGCAACAAGGGACCTCTGTCCATGCTGTAATCCTTCTATTTCGGTCTGTACACACCACCACAAAATCATATCCTGATGACCTCTCCCCCTCCAATTCCACCAGAATGAAACCTCATGGCCACTGAAGGTGGAATGTGTCCAGAAAATACCACTGACTGCCTCCCAGAATAACCCAGGGCAGGCGTACACAGCTAATGCAAGGGGTACCACTGGCAACAATCCTAAGTTCTCTGTGCCGGACACTGTAGCCCGCCAAGGGGTAAAAACAGATGAAACACTAAACTTAAAAAGCAGCTATCATTTCACAAAATCAGCATTCCTGCTCAAGTAGATGAAGTTTATCATTCTTGTGCTGGCTACACCTTATTAATGCTACTGGCATATTGTATGGAACAGTCTACGACAAGCCCCTTGCCAGAAGAGAACAAATAGGGCATCTCAAGCGATTTAGAAAAGCTGTCACAATACAACCATCTTACTCGGGATCTAGATAAAAAGAGAAGCTCCTTAACAGGGATTACCAATCAAATACTCACAGACTTTTCAACCATGAATGAAAACCTGTTTAAAACATGTTTGCAAAGCAGTAACAGAAAATACTGCACATAAAAAAAATCAATGAAACAGATCAGCAGAGCCAATTTCCTAACAGAAATGAATGATTTAGGCTGGAGAAGATTAATATACACTGCGCAAATACTAACACCACTGACAGTATTTGGGTAAAAATAAAGAAATGGTTAGATGCCCTAAGACAAGCTGACTTCATCAGCACTTCAATATACACTGGGCCTTTGGCTACACCTTCTGATGGTTAGTAACTGGTGATATTTTTAGCTATAAAAAAATTCAAATAACTAAAGCTCTGAACACACGGGAGGAAGAGCTTTAATGCTCCATATTTCATATAAATGGAAGAGGAAATAAATGCAGCTTCCTTGTACAGTAAGGGCCATTTCCTAAGCAGAATTTAGTAGACAGGCAGTCAATCATTCTCCAGTGCAATTTATCCTTTGTGAAACCCCCTTTTCGGGAATCTGTTAAAGCCATGTGTTAAAGTTCTCTTTAAAATGTCAACTTTTCTTTGCATAAACCTAGTTTTTACATTGTCAGAACCCATCAAACATTTTAGTATGTTCAATGGTATCCAGGTATTCTTATTTGAATTAAGCATTTTTGAAACAATTGCAATTTTTGGCAGCAGAAAAACTTACCTCCTGCCTGTGCATCCCACTGCACACTGCCCTCACAAGGCTCTCTATCCCCAAACCAATGAGACTGTGAACACTCAAATTGTGCAACCAGTGGTAAAAAATTTTTATAAGAATTAAATAAAATGTTGGGCTAGTGACTGTTGCTTCCTGGGCATTTTTAGTAATGGTGGAAAAGTTGAGGACAGGGATCCTAATGGCAAAAGATGCTAGCAATTTTTCCCATCTTTGCCATTGGGCTTTAGAGGGGCTCAGTTGCCAAAATATGGTCAAAACAAATAACCTATTCATGGGTAGAACCCCCCCACACACACACACACACACAAAACACCCCATAGGTTGCTGAAGTGGCTTCTTCCCCATCCTCGAACCACCCTTAGGAAACTGGAATTGGCTGACACACCACAAGAACTAATTCTGGGTAGCAACCCACGATGGGTTGTCATGTTATCCAAACCCAGTCAATGAAGCCTTGGCAAGCTCAAGGATTATCATGACATTTATGTTGCTATGAGGAAGCTCACTACATATTTAGTAAGTCAGGCATTTAATTTTAATCCTGTATTCATCTTTCAGATTAGGATGCTTTCAACAAATTTAACCAGCATTCTCCAACAAGCATACCAATGTATCTATTATCAGAATGGAAATGCATATAGTTCAACTGAAATAATTCCACCTCCCATTTCCATGAGCTGTACAGCTTCTGCTACCTTACCTGCTGGCAAGTATTTCAGCTGATTATTAGCTAATCGAAGGTGGCGTAAAGATCTCAGGCGGCCAATCTCTGGGCAAATGATTTCAAGAGCATTGTCACTCAGGTCCAAAAACTGCAGCTTAACCAGGGAGCCAATTGCTTCAAGGGGAAAAAATGGGAATTTGACTTGAGTATTAGAACCTTAATAGGAGAACGAAACAGACTTCTACAATTGTCTCATTCCTGCATATTGGACTTGTATGATAGCACAATCATATGTTCTCTGAATATTATGGGAGCTTGTGTTTTGCCTAGTGCTTTGATAAAGCGGTAACATGTGAGGGGGTGAACATATATGCTAAAATTTTACTTTTCCAGACATAATCCTCTTTGCTCTTCTGTCTATACTGAATTCACATACTCCATGTTATTCCATTCTGAAATAGACGTGCTAGCACAGTGAAGACCTGGGAATAGATAGCACATCAGGCTCAGTACCGAGGCATCAAGAATCCTGTAGCTCAGCCACAAGGTTCACTGGGCAAATTATCCTTCTCTAAAATGGAAAAGAGTCTACCTCAGAGGGTCCAGTTTATTTATTATATTAAGCTGAAGGGAAGGGAAAAAAGCAATTTATACAGCCAAGGATAATTGCAAAAACAAATGAAAAAGAAGCACATTTGTTTTATAAATGATTAAAAACATTTAAAATCATCCATCAAAGCACAATGGATGTTTTCAATGCCTCATTCAGAAGGGTTTTCATGATAAATGCCACTTTTGCTGTTTCAACCATCTAATCAGAAACAAAGCAGACAGTAATTATACATATCTGAGAATTTAGACATTTTCATTTATGCACTGTTTGCACTGTGTTCATGGGAATTCAACCAGAAATCATCCTTTAGAATATTATTTTGAATCTGGTATAGCACTTACCTTCAGGTACAACAACAATATTGTTTGAATGAAGGTACCTGTAAATAAACAGCAGAAAAGACCAGCTGTTACTCAAAGGAGTATTACAGAGAGGAAATTATGCACTCTATAATATATACAACTTTAGAAAAAGTGGCAGCAAGAACTTCTTAGTTTCTGCAAAGATAATGCTCCTATGGCAAAATGGCTCAGATACTGCCATGAGCTTTTAATCAGCCTAAGACAAGACTTTTAAACTCTTTCCTGAAACAGACTTCCTCTTCCACTGTACAGAGATTAGAACAACAATTTCACATTTGTTAACAGGATGCTCTGGGAAGAAGATAACTACCAACCTATATTGCATCCATGTAGGAAAGAACACATTAGAGAGGGTGAGAGGGAGGCAAGGAAGGAAAAGGGAAAAGACAACATCACAGAAAATCACACAGAATGCAAATTTTGAAAGAAAGTAACTTGGAATCCCTTGAAGATGAAAGGTGATAAGATATATTTGAGAAACTGGGAGAGGAAACTATTAAACATGCACTTTAGAAATGGTTTCATAGAACAGGCCCACAGCTGGACTCTGTTTTAAACAAGTCATAGCTATGGGATACAGTGGAAATATGTGCAACTTAGCTGAACCCATTTATAGCTACTTTCTGGTCTTAACCAAAGCAAGGGCAATGCGTGCTAAGCACAAAACTTTAGGGCTTCATGGCAAGTATCTCACAGGAATTTCAAATTGAAATTGGCTTAGAATTAGACTTTCAGGGAATATGGTGGAGGACCAGTAGGTAGTGAGTCCATTCACAAAAAGGAGGTCACTTTTTAAAAAAATTATCACTGAATCTGTCCCAAAAGTCTTGTTACAAATTATTTCTGGCCAATTTTAAAAATGATCATTCACAAGGTTCATAATGTTTCATACTCTTTTGAAACACTATGAAATGCTTTTATAGGTAAAGTCATATCAACAACATCATTGCCACAGTGTACAGATGGTGCTTTTGTTAACATAAAAAGATTTTAAAGTTATTTCATAAAGAGGATCGTCAAGCATAATTTTACTGAAAAGCACAGGATCTGAATGATTTTAGGTGTGTTCAAATGATGTATCCCATTCTGTCAAAATATCTACTTTTGAAAGTCCTTTTACTTTGAAAACTGCTTTGTCATGTAGCACGGGAAGCTGGCCTCTGAAAAATAGAAACCTAATGTTCAGTGGTGTGGTTCTTTGGATCCTGATCTATATTTATCATTATAGGGACCAATAAAATTTTATCTAGTGCTCTCTGGTGGGGATGACATGGAATTACAGTCATTTAGGAACATCTGTGTGAATTCCCTTCAGATGAGTGTTGCTAAGGCCGTTAAGGCATTTTAGCATGCTTGAAATTTATTTTACTCTATCTAAAAAGATGCATGAGTTAAAAAAGCAGACAACCATACAGAGAATAGCTACCAATGTAAAGAAATATATACATTAGGCTATAAGATTCTGTTGTATGAAGTTCCTCTATTAATTTCTAGAGTTGTCTCTTTTTAGAAAAAAATTGTTAAATACTAGCAGCAGCTGTTTAGGTACCTGAATGATTCAGCACATTGATTTTTCCAGCATCTGATGTTCTAAGAGTGTCCATCAATAACTACCATTGCGGTAGATGTTTAACCGCAAAATGTAACCTAAAATGTCTATAGTGCTAGCCAGTTCTTTACAAAGTAGCAACAAAGAAAACCAACTTATATTTGAAGAGCTATACTTATGACGAAAAATGTACCAACTGCCTTCATTTTAAGACATAAATATAAATTAAGTAACATTTTCTGAAAGTATGGGCTAGGGAAATCAGACCTCTGGCTGATTCAAAATTTATTTATTTATTTATTTATTCATTTATTTATTTATTTATTTGGGATTCTTATATGCGGGATCCAATAGTATAATAGCACCAATGTACTATCATACTGAAAATCCATTTAATTTTTTCCATTGCTCTCAATTAGTTTTTATTAGCTGATAAACATGAACAGGACTATTGCTACAATATATCTTACACTCAGAGCCCAGCCATCCACAGCCTACAAAAGACACAGGACAAAGAGTTAGAGAGCATGACATGATTAAGACAAGAACATTTAATACGTTCCCTCTGCTTACAAGAGCTTCTAAAGATGACCCTCCCTCAAAACATTAATTCCAGGCAGTTTTTGTGGCTTTAGGCAGGGGCTTGTGGGAGGGGAGGGTTGTCATGCCTGATGGCAGAACACGAAGCATGCCATGAAAAAGCTAATCTCCAGCTTCATTATAAAAGAGAACTCACATCAGACAAGATAAGGCATGGTTTTGAATCTAGCAGACTACAAACTGCAGTGACCTGTAAAAACTATTAACAGCACTGAAGAGTAACCAGTGAGATGCACTTCTCCAAGGAGAAAGATGCTCCAAAGTTCCTCCATACGATGCAGCCCCAAATAAAGTTAGCTGAAGACATGCTGCTGGTATTTCATGCAAGGCATAAACATAAAAAGTGATCAAATGCAGTCCCAGACTAACTCTACAACTGCAGAGGCACTTTCTCAGTTTGCTGTTTCTAGAAATTGCTGCCAGGAAATTGTAGTTGAAGGAATTCTTCACCTACTGGTGACCATATTCACTGTTGTGTATTTATATTGCTTTTTCATAAACTGTTGCAGAAAAATCTAAATATTTCTAGATAGAATATAAGATATTTATACCCTGCTTTTCCTTTAAGGGTAGCTCCCAAAGCAGTTTATAGATGAAATGTAGATTAGGGTCCAATATACTGATACATGCAGGTGCTTACTGCAGTCTTCGATCATTGTCAGTTGTTGTCACAGACCAGATGCCTGGTTCTTTCCCTCGGAGGGAGCAAGCAAAGAGCTGCAAACTAATTCAAGGGCTGGCTGCTGCTAAACATGCCAACCTACAGGAAGAGTCTCCCACTGCACCATAGAGTCTGTTCGCCTTGCAGTGAAAGGCATTCATCATTCTACAATATGGGCCACAAATTGAATAAGGGCTACCAGACATGACAGTGAAGCGGGATTTCTGTGTGCAAAGTCGGTGGAGCCCCGGATATGAACGACAGACAGCAGGAAATGCTTCTCATCTTCAAGCCCAGCTTGTGAACTACCTAAATGTAAGACCATGCTCACTGCTTGAAACAAAATGCAGACTTTGAACACTATACTCCAAGAGGTATTAATATATGCTATTCAAATACAGAATGCCACTCTAGGTCATTCTAGAAGAGTACGATATAAATTATACTATTGCAAACATTTCAGTTACCTGTAATAAATAAAGTATATTTGCAAGATCTCTGAGCAAATGACCTAGGGGCTACAGTCTGAATGTACTCACAGCAAATCATGGCACAGTGGTCAAACTGTCCTATGTAGCATGCTATAGGCCAGTGGTGGCGAACCTATGGCACACGTGCCACAGCGGGCATGCAGAGCCCTCTCTGTTCGCACACGAGTCAAGTTGCCCCAGCATCACCCCAGCAGCTAAGCATCAGACAACAGCGCATATAGCTGCAGCTTGTCCGAGCTTTCGCATGGCTGGTCAGTGCACTGCCAAGGATATATATAAATATTTGCTTGGACTGGCTGTGAGTTTTAATACATTCATTTTTATTAACACAAAATTTTGGCTTTGAGTTTTCTTATGAAAATTGAAATTTAATATCTAAGATTTAGCAAAGAGATGTTCTAATTAAGAGACTGAGATTATTCCAATGTTGTGCTGTCCCCCTGGCATATTTGAATCTGCAGCATCATATTTGTTTTTTCTAAACTAAAACCTCAGTATTAAGGTTTTATTGCAGTGTTGGCACTTTGCAATAAATAAGTGGGTTTGGGGTTGCAGCTTGAGCACTTGGTCTCTAAAAGGTTCGCCATCACTGCTGTAGGCTGTCGTTTATAAGCTTCCATATAGTTTGAAGTGCCTGATCCTGCCTAATCTTGGAAGTTAAGCAGGGTCAAGCCCGGTTGAAATCTGGATGGGTGACTTAAATGTTGCGCACCACCTACAGAGCTTTGGCTACAGGTGCTATAGAAATGTAAGTAACAACAACAGATTTAGGCTCAGAAGCATGAGAGGAGACTGTACAGGAACAAAATTAGATCATGGAATGCCACAGCAATATGGACTAGACCAGACCTGACCTGACCTTTAGCAAAAAGGAGAAAATGGTTCATAATACATTGTTCTGAATATTTAATATATTCACTTTAAAAAACAGCATTTTCAACAGCTATCCTCTTCTTTACTTTACTGCATTATTATAAGCAACAATACATCACACACTCACAATTCCACAAGGTTTGGGAGCTTCTGGGCAAGGTTTTCTGGCTAAAAAAAAAGAGAAAAAGATAACATTTCAGTTTAGTTCTTAAATGATAAATACCTGACATCAAATTAGCAAACTGGTGTGCCGAATTTAAGATGCTGCTGAAGTGCCGGTTTCTATCTCGGGGCACAAAACTACCACTCTGCCTAGCACTGACAATGCAAGGAGGACCCAAAGGTATCAGAGGACAGAACTATCTGGAACAGATAGTCTACAACTTTACCCAGCTTGAAGAATCAAGGCATCAAAATATTAACAGGCGTGATGACAAACAAAGTAACTGATTGGCTCAACATAAACTGATGGCTCACACAGCTCATGGCATTCTTTCGCCCAACATTAGACTAGAAATCCTGCTGAAAATTCAAGTTGCCACTAGACCATTGTGTGCATGTTTGTTAAGCCAAACGACAATCAGCCCTTTGTGGCTTTCCATGGCTTGTTTTCCTGTCACCAATCCTCCTGGTGGCCTTTGTGACAGGACTCCTTGTATTTTCCATCAGCACCCCTTATGCAGTTGGACCCCTGGAGCTGCCAGCCCCTGGGGAAACTCCCCTGCTGAATCAGACTGCCAAATGGAATAGGTTTTCCGAGCCTTTGTGAATGCAGCAGAGTATCTGCAAACTTCTGAGGGTACTCTTGCACAAGACTGCCTCTTAATATCCCCCGCCTGGCAATTGCATCTTCCCCTTGGGCACTTCCTGAGTGAAATTCCCCCAACCTCCTGTATCAGATTGCAAAAAAAAATCATATTCTGAGTCTTATTAACATGGAAACATGTGAACATTTTTTTTTCTTTTCAGAGCCTCCTGAACTGGCCTGACTGATGGTGCATCCAGTATACCATTAACACCCTATCATTTCACCCTCCCATTTCACTATCCTTTATCATTTCATTCTTTTGCTTGCAAGCTCTCTTCTTTAAGGGTCCTTCATCTACTCCAGGAGTGATTAGACCCACCCCAAAAGCTCCTTCTCCTGCAGCTGCTGGCCACTTTTCAGCTCACAGCCACCCTTCATGCTTGTTCCTTCCCTCTATTGGTTTATTTTGTTAGCTGACAGATACAGAGTTTATGGGTCACAAAGCAGCAAGGCCAATCAGTGAAGATATGCAAATTTCAACACACAGCCATGAGAGAGAGTGGTAAAGATATAGAAATTTCAACAACAACAGCTGAGTGGGATTTACTAGACATGCAGCAATGTCAAGGCAAAGCACAGCAGTGAAGTAGATGGGATATGCAAATTTCGAGAGAGAGATCAGTAAATAACAGCAGTGAAAGGGACTGGTAAATTTATAAACTCCTTGGTACAGCAGTATAGCTGAAGGCAAAAATTATGCATATTTCATAGCAGGCCACCCCATTCACAAAAACAGTTTGGATGGCTGCTAAATATAAGGATTTCCTTTAAAACAGGGTTTTTGACAGGGATTAAACAGGACTTAAACAAAAAAAGGACATATACAGATACCATGACTGCATATATCCCTTTCAAAAACTCCAGTTTTAAAAGAAGCCCTTAAATTTTGTCAGCTGTTATAATTAACTCCTTCCATAAATGAGGTGGGATGCATTTTTCTACTTTTCTGAGTACGTAGGTTAGTAAAGGTGTAGGACACTTAAAATGGTCAAATCCAAACTTAAAACCTATAGTTGCTTTCTGCAAAGTGGCTCATCTACTCCTCACTCTTTTTCATAAGCAAATACAGCAATATTGCTTTATGCTTGAAAGCTTTTCATTAGACAGCTGTCAGGAAAAAGCAAAGTAGTGGACTGGGAGCCTAGCTTTGACAATACCCATGGGTGTTGCCTGCCTCAACACCAGGCACTCACTGGGATATTGACCAGACCAAGGCTTTATATTTTGGGCAGTCGAACTTGCACTCCTGAGTAACTCTGAACTGCCAAAAATCCCACACAAACATTTGCACACATTTCTGTCACACACACACAAAGTTGTGAATCAGCAATAGTTGTGCCAATGTACCTTTTGGGCAGTTTGGAAGGGCTGCCATGTCCAAAAAAGCCCACCTCCCAGCAAAGGGGAGGGAAAAGCTGTGGCAATTGAGATAGGAGTGAGGGCAGAAAGCAGCGCAGGTTATGCTGCCTGCGTCTCAGATACCTGCAGAGGGGAAAGGAATGGGGAGCAGCCTACAGTGATTCTGTTGTTGTTTCACAGCTTATTCATGTGGCTGGTTCCCAAAATAATTCAAACTCCAATTTGTTGTCTTTGCTGCAACAAACTAACATGCCTTCCTCTTTGGAAATAATTACTGTAATAAATTATCCAACAATAACAAATTATCCATCTTCTAAACATGGAGATCGTCTAGAACAACATTTTATAAGAGATCATTTTGCAGCAGACTTGTCACACTATTTTCATATGATACTCTTGGTGTTTTGCCTTAAGACAGTCTGCATGGGACTTATTTTGCAAACTGAATGACTACCACATAACTACCGAGAGAGTTTGATACCTGGCGAAACTTCTAAAAGCCTTGAATATTTACTAGGAAGACAGCAAGACCCACTTCTGCACATCTCACACCCAAATCCAGTAATCATAGAATAGCAGAGTTGGAAGGGGCCATGAAGGTCATTGGGTCCAACCCCTGCTGTTGTAGGTCACCAACTTAAACCATCCCACACAGGTGGCCATCCAGTCTCCTTTGGAATGTTTCTGGTGTGGGAGAGCCCACCATCCTGCTAGGCAGCTGCTTCCACTGCCATACTGCTCTGACAGTGAGAAAGCTTTTCCTGATGATCAGCCTGAATCTGGGTTGTCACAATTGGAACTGATTCCATGTCCTACACTTTGGTATCAGCGAGAAGAGATCTGACATCCTTTGAGGTACTCATAGGGGGATATCATGTCCCCTTCTCAAGGCTGAACATGCACAGTTCTCTCAGTCTCTCCTCATAGGGCAGTGTTCCCAAACACTGTGTGCTGCTTCTTTCTACCTGGTGCTCCTGTTCAGTGAACATGTCTCCAGCTTTTTTGAATTGCACCACTTAAAGTACAGGCAGCACTGTTCTAGCCAGAAGCATTATCATAATTCTTCAGCTTGTTTTCTACAAGACTGCCATGCTGCAGTAATTTTTGGTTTTGGTTTCCACCTACTGGAGAGTCCATGCTAAACACCTTGATTTCTCCCCACAAGACATTTTTGTAGTATTAAAAACATCTGATATCCTTAAGCTTCCTTACAATCAAGTCTGAATAGTTTCTAATGATCTTGCAACATAAAGACCAGGTCTGCACAATGAAAATAAGCCACTCTGGCTTATTTAAATCATGATGTGCATGAGATCCATGTGAGGTGTTTGTCATGTCACTGGAATCCAAAGAGCTTACTGAAGAGAGAAACAACACTCCAATAACCCTGTAACTATGGGTTGTTTTATCTTGTAACAAACCATGCAACCTTGGGTTCAGAAGACATAGAAGCTGCACCTAAACACAGTGAGCATGAATCACTGTATTTACAGATATACAGGAGAGCCAGTGTGGTGTAGTGGTTAAGAATGTGAGGCTGGGACTCAGACGACCTGGGTTCTAGTCCCTGCTCAGCCATGGAGCCAACTGGGTGACTTTGGGCCAGTCACAGACTCTCAGCCCAACCTACCTCACAGGATTGTTGTTGTGGGGATAAGATAGAGGAGGAGAATGATGTAAGCTGCCTTGAGCCCTTTGTAGGAAAAAAGCAGGATATAAATCGAAAAATAAATAAAAAAAATAATAATAAAAAGATATTATGCCCTCCACTCACAATTTAAATAAGCCACCACCCTTTAACATAAACTGCCTTGGCATCACTCAAAGCAGCCTAAAGTATTCATTGGCTTAACTATTTCAACAAATCTAAAAATCTTCTCAATTTATTCCTATCAATACTTTTGATCAGTGTGCCACCATACAAATTTTTGTAGTTCTCAAACTGCAAGCATCATGCTAAATAAGAAATAGTACATACAAAACCTCTTTTTGTTTTTAAAAGTCAAATGCTTTCCTCAAATACTTTAAAGAGAACTCAATATACAATGTACATATTTTGTAACTGTTATGCCACCCTATCTCTCTGGAGAGGAGAACACGCTTTGCATGCAGGAGGTCCTTGGCTCAGTACAAAAATGAGGAAGCCCACCACCCCCAGCGCCTCCGTTCTTCTCCTGATAATGTGAACCTAGCAAAGGTACACAATCTGGGCATGATACTACTGACATTTTACAACAGCCCAGTAAGACAAAAGTAATGTGACAAACAATGAACATTTTAAAGTGATCTATATGGATGAGTTAGGCTATGGTTTTCCCAGTTGCAATGTATGGCTATGAAACCTGGACCATAAGGAAGGCTTAGCACCAAAGAACTGAGACCTTTGAATTGTCGTGCTGGAGAAGACTCCTGCGAATCCCCTGGACAGCAAGGTGATCAAACTGGTCAGTCCTAGAGGAGATCAACCCTGACTGCTCTTTAGAAGGCCAGATACTGAAGATGAAACTCAAATACTTTGGCCACCTAAAGAGAAGGAAGGACTCCCTGTAGAAGACCCTGATGCTGGGAAAAATTGACGGCAAAAGAAGAAGGGGATGGCAGAGAATGAGGTGGCTGGATGGAGTCACTGAAGCAGTGGGTGTGAGCTTAAGTGGACTCCAGGGGATGATGGAGGACAGGAAGGCCTGGACGAGTGTTTTCCATGGGGTCACAATGGGTTGGACATGACTTCACAACGGACAGCAACAACATATGGATGAGTTAACTAGATTGATAGAAATAACGGGAACAGAGAAAAGCAGCTGTCCCAGATTTACTGGGTCAGACTTTACTCATCTGCTAAATATCATAAAATAAACTACCCTTCTAGCATTTCCTCACTGTGAGCACAGCTTGATGGGTAATTTGACAGTTCTCACCCAAGGTGATTTTCTAGTGTGACATGTTAGGAATTTATTCATCTCTCCTTATTTAAGAAAAGGGAAAGAGTAGGTCGATATAACATCCAATAAAGTGACTCATGTAATTCAAAATGAGCTGTGGTGGGGAACTGGAGAGCTCCAACAAGCCATACCACCCACATTTTAGCTACATAACAAGCCCCACCCAGGCAGTGATTCGGAAATTGCGCCCTGCATGGGCCATGACTTAAATAAGCCACTATGGCTTCCGTTTATCATGTGAACCAGCACAATATGTACTAACTACCTAGATAAAATGGCAGCTGTTTGCTGGATCTGTTAGTTTGAGTAGCTGAATTTCAGTCAACCAGCAGACTCGATCCCCTCTCAAAATTCTGAGATGATCAGTAGAAACCGAAGTCTATCAATTTCTCATGACAAGTTTTTAAAACCATGTGTTTGCTTTGCTGTCAGAATGTGAATCAGAACAGACGGTGACAATGGGCTGCTGTTTGCTGCTTCTCCATAGGGCAACCTGTGTGGAAAAGAAAAGAAACACCTTCCCAATCCTTATTTGACACCCTTGACGTTATCTATGACAAAAGGCTTCGATGACCCTTCAACTCAGGAAGAAGCCAGAAACTGTGTGATCCCCAGGGCAGTCCATGAAAGCCTACAGTAATGAGTATTTCAGTAGATAGCTTCCAGGTCCAAAATACACAGAGTACACAACCTTTAGAAAGCCTTAGCTGTATTTAAGACTAGCCAACCAATTTTGTGCCCTGCTTCACGGGCATCTGTTTCCAAAAAAGGTGAAATATTCCCATGGAATTCCTTCTCTTCACTATAGGAGAGGGCTCCACAACATCCTTTGGCTGAAAACCTGATCAGGGACAGATTCAGGAACAGGAAGGTGAAACTGCTGACCTAATATTTTTCATTTTTTTAATTAAAAAATTGAAGAGGATAGGGATTGGAGAGCTTTGCTGATGCTGTTGGAGTTCCCTGCTGGTACCATGTTGGAGGGCTCAGGTCTAGGAGGATCCTTATGTGCCATTTTTACTATCAGCATAACATATATATTTCATATTGGAGGAAAGAGAAAGCAGGCATGCTGTATCATCTCATTCTCCTTTTTTATAAACATAAAAAGCAGAAGACTAGGAGAAAGTTTTCTCCCATTTCCCCCTTTTTTCCAATAGGGGCTTAAAGAAGAAAGTTGTTTCTTTCTGTGCAATCTGCATTAGTCACAACTTCCCTCAGAGCAACAGGTTTTGATCAGCAGAATATAATTTTGCAAAACCATGCTTTCTAAAGTAAAAATGCAAATCAATATGAACTCTCAGTCATAATTTATAGTATCATAAAATCCAGTTCTCAATGTTCTGTCAATGCAGTCTTTTAACACTCTGCTACAACCTGGAGTCACTAGAGTGCTTTGGCTACTGTGTGATAAAGCAATGTAATAAACAGAGGGGAATGAAGAGGTTATCCACTACTCTAATTGTGGGAATGCCTTTTACTTTCTCCAATGTAAGTGACCAGCCACCATTAACCCATATGTGAAAACTTGAAACCCTGCAATCAAGGGCTGGGTCCTGTCAACAAACCCTATCCATCACAACAGCAAGTGTTTGGCTTGTTATGCACTGAAAAAAATCATACCAAGGTGGTTAATGAATTTCTTTTCATATAGAGTCTTTCCAAGTACTGCAGACCTTCATCCTTCAGCAGTTCCAAAGGAAAGTGATGCAGATTTCGGTAGTTTAAGAATAAATTCTTGTGTCTTTCTAGTTTCGCCTCCAATATTGTTTTACAGAGTTCTGATGCCATGGCAGATACTGGCCCAGTCACCATAGCAGAACTCTATGCACAGCAGAAGTTGATCATTTCTAAAATGGAAAATGAAATACAGAAAGTATTGTAAGAAAGATCTTAGCTTGCTATTTTCCTGAAGACTTTCTTTCTGAAACATATTTTTTGTCTATTTTAAAACATTGCATATTACATATTTAATGCAAAATGTGCATATGTTGCATATTTAACAATATTAAGGGCAATCAATAAAAGTAAAAACACAGTACAGAAAATCCAAAATACAAGCACTACAGAAAATTATAAATCTAACATTGCACAAGATTTTAATTTAAAACTAATACACACACAAACCAAGCAGCATCAGACCCAGGAAAATTCATCTGATGAATTTTGTCAAGTGGTTTACAAGCAAAATGAAAAGTAGGTGGATATCTGACCAGTTAACAAATTACCCTTTCAAAGTTATGAAATTCTAGAATCCAACATGGCTCTTATATCTGGGGAAGTTATGCAAAGCTTGGAATAGTTAAGAGTTTGTGAAGAGAACTGAATACAGTATGAAAAATATTCATGAAATGCATATGCACACACATACACTTATTTTAGCTCCCTACTGCCTCTGAACAAATTAATTGTGAAAGTTTTCAAGACAACACAAAAACCTGTTCACTACAGACAGAAGAAATATACACACCATGAAAAGCAATTTCTCTTCCAAACTACCTTTAGCTCTCAGAAATCCACCTCTACAATATTGTCCAAACATATAATGCTGCTAACCACTGCATGGAGTCAAGACCACATTATACCTGCCCTGACAAGGTTTGGTCTTGTGCTGCCCCACAACTATGGAATGCACCCCCTCAGGAGCGGTCCATTCCCCATAGCCTATAGAAAGCTGCCCTAATACAGAAAGCATCCTCAAGTGGCAACATTCATAATGTGTTTGAAGGGCACCAAAGAACTTCATTTCACAGAAAGTAATAGTGATGGTGGCAAAGCATACATAAGATTGCCTAAGGTTGGCTCAAGATGTGTATCACTCTTACTACAAGATGATTCCTCTTAACATCTTAGAGGATTTTCCATCTATGCAGACAACATGATAAAAACAGATGTCAAAAACCAAGATGCACATCCTGCTTCTGGCATGGCAGACATCCTGTAGACAATGCCACTCTAAGCAGGTGCTTTAGTTTGTCTTAATGGTTCAGTTGACCCTATTACTGGCAACCTAGGGCCACTCCAGGCAAAGCAAGATGTCTATATGAATTTTACAAAATCAGCACACGCATATTTTTCAGAACTTTCATCTTGGCAGGACATGTGCCTCCATTTATAAATAGGAGATCACAATTACAATCCCTTACAATCCCTCCTATTAATCCAGATGACAGGAGATGGGGAAACTCTTTTAAGGACCTGGGGAACTGCTGTCAGTCAGTGGAACAGTATCTCAAACAAATAAAATGATGAATGCAGTAGTCCAAAGGTTTGGGGAGCACCAAGTTGGGGAAGGCCAGTGCTGAGAAGGTCAACCTAGATGAATGAATGATTGGCCACAATTATTTTTATCATGTAAGTATACTTCTATACCACCACGCAGCAAAGTCAGAAAGGTAGGCACTTGCATGTCCAAAAAACCTACAGGTCGAATTTCCACACAGGTTGTAACTGAGATATTTGCAAAGTCTCTTGTGGGCATCTGGTTGGCCAGCACGTTTGGTCCAACTCAGCATTTATTTAATTAAATTTACAGCTCGCCGTTTTTTCTTATAAAGAACACAAAGCAGCTTACATACTACTCCTGCGGCTCTCAATCTTATCTCCACAACAACAACCCTGTGAGGTAGGCTGGGCAGAGGGTCTGTGCCCGGCCTCAAGTCACTCGGATGGCTCCATGGCTGCGCAGGGGCTGGAACCCAGATCGCCCGAGTTCCCCTACACCATACTGGCCCTCTTTTCTGATTTTCTCTCTCTTAGTTGTTCTGAACTTCCCCTGCTTTTTCTATAAAATCCTGCAGTGGAAGACCTAAAGAAGCATGAAAAGAAGGGCAATGAAAGGAGGGGTGGGGAGCAAGCGAAAGCAAGAAAGGGACGCATGGCTCTATTCTTACCAGGAGAGAGGGGCCGTTGTGGGCAGCGTGGGTGGAAAAGGGGAAGCCCTTTCGGTGTCTCTACAGCAACAGCAACTCAGTACGAACAGACGGTGAGGGAAACAAAGAAGCGAGGCCCGTCTCCGAGGCCAAAACTATACCCCTGTTGAAAGGGGAGAAAGCCTACAATTCCCAGCATGTCCCAGGTCGCTGACTGGGGCATGCTGGGAGTTGTAGGCTTCCCCCTTTCTCTCAACAGGGATAGACATAGGCCTTTGTTTCCGACCACCCCCGGCCACCTCGAGGGGAGCCGAGGTAAAGGCGGGCGTCGCACTTACCTGCTGAGGGGGACCGTGAGCGGCCCAAAGCGGGGACCATGTTTCATTCAGCGGGAGGTAATAGGCCGGGAAGAGAAGCCATACCAAAGCGCGTCAACATCCGTCAACTGAAGGAGGCGGGAAGGAAACCTCAAACACGGGACGCTGATTGGGACAAAAAGTCACGCGAGAGTTCGGCTCTTTCCGAAACCCGCGCCGCGCCCCCTCCCGCCAGAGGCGTACAAGGCGAACTCAAGCCGCAAAGAGCTCCGTCACGTGGAAGAGGGAAGGGGCCGGGCGTGGCATGCTCCGCCCACCTCTCCTCCGCCTCCTTTCCTGCTTGCCCCGGCCACGCCCTCCGCGGTCGGGTCTAGTAACTCCGCCTTACAGGCGCTTGGCTTTTGACCTCTCCCTTGTGCCCGCTCACTGCCTGTATTAGTCGCCACCAAAACCCATGCGCCTGGGAACAGTGTGGATGTGCACTCTGTTCATCACGGCTTTGGGGAGTTTGCATAGGCCCAGTTTATCCTTTTGGGGTTGCAAGAGCCCTCTGTGCTAAATTTGGGCTACTGTGCTCTCTGAACCCACCTGTGCTAATGATGCACAAATCAATAGGTAGAACTTGCGTGCAGTCATTGGCACATAAGCAGGCCTAGGAAAACCCCTCTTTTCTAGGAATCGGCATGTGGGCATCCTCGAAATGGAGCTGGCACTGCCCAGGTACCAGTCCAGAGAAAGCTAGTTGCCGCTTGACTGATAACAGCAGCACAAACAAAGGCAGTGCACACCAGTCCACCCCATCCTCCTCCCAGAGGTCATCTACAGGACAAGTGAGACAGTTTCCATTCCAAAACCAGACCTGAAACCCATCTAGATAATCCATTTCATCCCTACGTGCTGAACTGCCTGGCCTCACCCGTTCAAACACCTTGACCAGTGTGAGATTTAAAACTCCTTGAGACAGGATTCGAGTAGGTACAAGCAGTTTATTCCATACAAGAAGCATTTGCAAAGGCTGGCTCAATGTCTCAGTTGCCTGAGGAACAAAGAGCAATTATTTCAAATATCAATGAGATTATATACATTCCTTTCCCCAAGGCGCAACACTATCCCTGCTTCGCCATTGGCTGTTTACTAAAAAGTCACAATCATCCCCATCTGCCTATATCATACTACTGCTTAATATGTTCCCCCTTCCCGATCATACATCCCATGTTCATGCTAATGAGCCTGTTACCTATGAGAGGAGTGTCAGTTACTATTCATAAGCCTATTAAGCGTGTGCAGTACCTTTTAAAAGTTCAACAGGCCGAAGTGGCCTTGAAAATTCTTACTTAGACGCCAAAATGTTTCTTAAATCTTGTGGGGAGGATGAGATAATGAGAATAGGCCTTTCTCCAGGCTCGTTATCCCCAGTTGTAAAGTAATCCATTGTCTGCTCTCCTCCACTGAAAGTGACAGTTTTACCACTGTCCCCCAATATTACCCCTTCTGGTATTTTTCCGGACTTTTGATGTAATAAACATCATTACTCTTAGAACAACCATTTACATGTTTTGATTCTCAGGCTTTTTTGCCTTAAGAGACTTCAAAGATCCTGTCCTATTCCTGTTTTTCACCCTTAACACTTAGTAACAGTAACATTTCATTTCTCAAAACCAGGAAGGGAATATTTGCAGCAGGTCTATAATTGTTCACACCTGCTGGGTCCAGGCTTGGCTTTTTTAGGAGTGGCTTAATCACAGCCAGCTTTAAAGGGCCTGTGTAGCACCAATCCCTCTCTGAATGAGGCATTTACAGCCTCCTGGACCGAGGTGCAAATTGCCTTCCTTGCTTCCTTCCCTCCCCCAATTAACCATGTTGGCAAGGGTCAAGTATGCAGGTGATAGGTCCAACCTGGCCAAGCACCTTGTCCACATCCTCAGGCCTCAATAACTGAAACTCAGCCAACAAAACCGAGTAGAAAATTGCAGCCTACATAAATAGGCTTTGTGACATGTCATTTGTGGCATGAGAGCCATTGTGGTGTTGTGGTTGAGAGGGATGGACTGGGAGTTAGGGGATCTGGGTCCAAGTCCAAACTGAACCATTAAGCTGACTGGGTGACTTCAGGTCAGCCACTGACTCTCAGCTGAACCAACCTCACAGGGTTGTTGTTATGAGGATAAAATGGAAAGAGAAAAACCTTGCAAGCCACCTGCAGTTCCTTGCAAAAAGAAGGGTGGGGTATGAATGGCATGTAACAATAATTACTAGTTGGTCAAAGTATCCAGAGATTATTTATTTATTTAAAGTATTTATATGCTGTCCTGTTGCGAAAGCCTCAGGACGGCTCACATAGATAAAATACAACAAAATATAACATATGTAGATAAAATTATCGACCCACACTGGCTGCAATAAAAATGTATAAGTCATGATATTAAAACTTATTAAAATATTGCTGAAATAAAAAGGTCTTAATCTGGCGCCAAAAAACATATAATGACGGCACCAGGTGGACCACTCTGGGGAGCGCATTCCATAGACGGGGCATCACCGCAGAGAAGGCCCTCCTCCGGGTACTTTGCCTCCTAATATCTTTCACGGAGGGTTCCTGCAGGAGGCCTCTGCTGCCGATCTCAAGGGGCGGGAGGGCAAATATGGAAGAAGGCGTTCCTTCAGGTATCCAGGTCCCAAGCCATTAAGGGCTTTATAGGTAATGACCAGCACCTTGAATTGAGCCCAGACTTCGATGGGAAGCCAGTGGAGCTGATAGAGGACTGGGGTTATATGAAAATAACACCCAGTCCCCGTCAGCACCATCTGAAGTATCTGGACTGTCTTCAAGGGCAGCCCCACGTAGAGCACGGTGCAGAAATCCAACCGGGAAGTAACCAATGCATGTGTCACTGTCACTAGGCAATCTTCCTCTAGGAAGGGACACAGCTGATGGATTAGCTGAAGCTGAAGGAAAGCACTCCTCACCACCGCAGTCACTGGAGCTTCCAAGGACTGCTCTGGGTCGAGGAGCACTCCCAAGCTGTGGACCCTGTCCCTCAGAGGGAGTGCAACCCTGTCCAGGGTAAGGCCCAAGTCACCTACCCAGGAGCTCAATCCACCCACCAGCAGGACTTATGTCTTGTCTGGATTGAGTTTCAGTTTATTGGCCCTCATCCAGTCCATTACCTCAGCCAGGCACCGGTTCAGTACAGCCACTGCCTCACCTGGATTGGTTGAAAAAGAGAGGTAGAGCTGGGTGTCATCAGCGTACTGATGACTCTGCAGCCCACACCTCCGGATGACCTCTCCCAGCGGTTTCATGTAGATGTTGAAGAACAAGGGGGACAAGATGGACCCCTGCGGAACTCCATGGCATAGCAGCCATGACGCAGAGCCAAAGTCCCCCAGCACCACCTTCTGGAATTGGCCATCGAGGTAGGAGCAGAACCACTGCCTAGCAGTGCCTCCTACTCCCAGTCCCGCCAGCCTGTCCAGAAGAATACCTTGGTCGATGGTATCGAAAGCCGCTGAGAGGTGCAGGAGGACCAATAGGGCCGCACTCCCCCGTCCCTCTCCCCACACAGGCCATCGTACAGGGCGACCAGGGCAGAATCAGCTATAATTAAACTAGGGCTACTTCCTTGCTTATTTGCTTATTATGGGGGCGGGGGGGGGGGGGAGAACTGCAAGAATCTAGTCCGAAGCACTCAATCCATTCATTTTATTAGAACAAGGGAAATATGTATAATTATTATTCATAGCCTCATCACTTTCTTATACTTTCTTGCACTGATGCATCGTAGGCACAGTGTAAGTGTGAATAATTATGTGCTGCCCAAGCACAAGAGCACTTACATAGGATCATAATCCTAGCAATCTGGAGAAAAATCCTTCCTCAGGCTATCCAGCTTTTTCCCCTGTTGTTTGCTAGAAGTGAAATCTTGCTTTGCAGAACTCTTTCTTCTGGGAGAAGGCCAATCCTTTCAGGAAACAATGCCGTTTTTCTGCCATGTGACCAGGGAATGGAAATCAAACGGACTGAGAGTGAGAATTGTTCAAAGAAAAGGTTTAAATCAAGGACACAGTACTGTGTGTATCTTAAACAGACACACATATCATAAGGATTACACAGTTTCTTAACAGAAGCAGAATAGGCTGCAGTTTTGAGTCTGATCGTGTCCCTTGGTGCAGGCACCAGCCCCAGCCATGCCGCGGCTGCCTAAATGGCAAAAGGATTCCCACATGTCACACCAACCCAGCGTGGCAACAAGGCACAGTGGGGTGGTTGTTGGCAAAACAGCCCATGGTGACAGCTGACAACTGGGCTCACTGTTAGCCCCCTCCCACGCCCTCCTTATACCCTGGTCTTGCCACAGATACCTCAAAGGACGCCCGCACGTTATCTCCCTTTCCCTGCTGCAATCATTTCCCCCGCTCGCACACTTTTTTCTCTCCAGAGATTGCAGAAGTCAGAATGACAACCACCTGCAGTCCCTTCAGAGGATCTGCTTGCAGCTGGCAGAGCCTGTGTTTAGAAAATGTGCGACAGCAGTGCCCTTTATAACTGCACTTGTCAATTGCAGGCCATGGCAGCTAAACAAGTGTAGGCCTTGGAAGCTTTGTCTGGGCCAAGCTGGACGTTGGCTGGACATTGCCCAGAAGAGGCTCCGAATTCTTTCCCTCACGTTTGACGGCTGACACAGGGCAAGCTGTTAAGAATGAAAGCCAAAGGGATCTTTGCAGGCAAAAAGGGGGTATTCTGGGATGTACTTCCCTTACCCAGCTAGTCCATTTGCTGGTGCACATTTTTCACTCTCTCCTAAGCCTCCAGGTGCTTGAGAAGGTGCAAATGTACATTAC